TGACAGATGAGCTATCTTTGGTCTAAGCATAGCAAATGCATCATAAAACAGTGCTGACTGCCTTGGTCTAAAGAGCTGCCAGGATGAGCAAAGAAGCTAAGGCCCAGGGGCATGATGGAGGGCACCACAGAAGAGGCTTCTCTAGGGAGGTGACATTTGAATTAAACCCTGAATGAGAAATGAGAAGGTGGCAGCTATGTGAACGGCTGGGAAAAATAATTCCAAGCTGAGGGGACAAGTGCAAAGATCCTGAGGTGGGAAAGATTCTTATTGATTGTAAAAAAATGTTTTATGTCATGACACTGAAGTGGCTACTCTTGAAGGAGAGAGGAAGAGTATGGTACTGAGCAGCAGGGGCTGGCCACTCAGGCACTCAGGCAGTGGTGAGTGGTTTGGGCTGTACTCCAAAAGCAATGGGAAGCCCTTGCAGGGTTTCATCAGGACATGGGATCTGATTCATGATTTTAAAGGACCCATTTGGCTGCTCGGTGGAGCCTGGATTGAGGGTTAGGGTAGGGGTTAGGATGGGGGCCAAGGTAGGAGAAGATGGACTGTGGAGGAGGCTGTTACTGCCGTCTGGGTAAGGGATGGTGTGGCTTGGGCTTGGAGGTGGCGACTAAAGTGGAGAAGTGGAAGATTTGGGATGTTTAGAGGGGAGCCCAGGTGTCTGCCAGTCCTCTGTTGTCACCTGTTGAACAACTGCACCTTCAGGAAGCTGCTCGGCAGACCCTCCTCCACAGCCCAGGCCGGTGGCCAACTCTGCCCAGGACGCCCCCAGCCACGCCTTTTGTGACTGTACTCCTCTGGCCATGAGGGAGTCTTCTCCGCTCAGTTAGGAGCTCCCAGAGGCAGGTTCTGGTTCATCTGGGTGCCCAGCCTGGTGCCAGCCTCACTTCCAACAGGCTTCACTCCAACCAGGGCTGGTGATCAACCATCAGTAACTCTCCCCAGAAAGGCCCCACTGCTCCCTCTGAGGGCTGGGAGGGCTGGGTGGGTGCGTCTCTGCAGAGCTCCCCTGGACAGGCTGGCTGTGCAGCAGCAGCACTTCCTTCCTCTGCCCAGGTCTTGCTCATACAATCACCTCCTGCTACCCCAGGCTGTGTTCACACAGTCCTCACCTGGACCTCAGACTCTGGAGTCGGGGGATATGAGCCCATTGGCCAGGAGTCTCAGCACGAGTCCACTGACTCAGCTGGGCTCCCTCGCTGCCCAGAGCTGATGCCTGACCCTCTGGCTGAGAGCACGCCCAGGCACCAGGAACGCTGTGGTGGTCAGACACAGGGAAAGGGCCCCAAGTCCCTACAACAGGCAAAAGCCTCAGCCTTTTTTTTTTTTATTAAGACATAATTCACATACCATAAAATTCGCCATTATAAAGTGTGCAATTCCGTGGCTTTTAGTATATTCGCAAGGTTGTACAACTGTCCCCACTGTCTGATTCCAGAACATATTCATTACCCCAAAAAGAAACTCCGTACCCATTAGCAGCCACTTTCCGTTCCCCTCTTCTCCCAGTCTCTGGCAACCACGCATCTACCTGTCTCTATGGATTTGCCTGTTCTCAACATTTCACCTAAATGGCAAAAAGCTCAGCAGCCTTCCAGTCCACAGGTTCTAAGTGGAGCCCATAGAGGGGGCCACAAGAGCAACGTGGCCTCATATTCTTTTTGAGATGCGGATTTGCACCGGACTATCTATCAGTCCTGCATATCCAAGAGCCTGAGTTTTCCTACGGAGTGATGCCTTACTCATCCTGGAAGCCTCTCAAAGTCTAGCCCGAGACCAGTCCACTGCCTCCCATCCCCACCCCCAGGTTTCAGAGCAAAGACGACAAAACCAAAATACAGAGGGGCTACTGCTCTAGGCCAATAACTATCTGTAAGCCCACATTAGATGCCTGACAAACATCAGCCATAAAATAAACTTTGACCTAACTCCCCTTCCCCAAACATTTACAAGAAGCCGAGTACCAAGAAAACCCAAACATTTTGGGAACAAAAATCTGCCCAGTGTCAGTGGCTGTGAGGTAGTCACTTGGCCCTTTGCTCCTGGCTAGGTTTGAGTCTGTTTTGAGGTGCCCAATGTGGTAGTGACATGCGCAGAACAGGTTCCCCTGTCTAGGGAAGTCAAGTGATTGGCCTTGAGCTCCTCAGCACAACTGCTGACCACCTGGATTCTCTCAGAGGGCCCGACAAAGGGCTGTGGGGGTGGGGGCTAGTTCTGAGGCCCATGGCCAGAGATTGGGCAAGCATGTCATCTGTGCCCTGAAGATGGGGTCAGGAAAGCAGTTTTTCCTCAAGGCCCCTGAAAGGGGCTTCCGACCTACTCTAAGAGCATCTTTTTTCATTCCAGACACATGAACTTAAATCATATGATAAATGTGCTCCCAAAACATGAGGTCAATTTTGCTTTTTAAAACACAATCATATTTAAAATGTCCGTACAATTCTCAGGGTGACGTAAGCAGCCACTCTTACTTGCCATTTGCTTATAACTATCAAGTTTGCTTAAAAGAGGCTCCACTACATTCATGTATACCTTCCTCAACCAGTGTCACCCCAGCATAAGCCCTTGCCTCTGCCCTTGTCCCCACCCCATGGAGCAGTTGGCACCAAGGCACACAAAGTCAGTGCCAGAGCTCGTCCTCCTGTGTTTGCAGAAGCCAGGCAGTGAGAGGATCAGGGGATTTGCCCCTATAGAGGAGAGGGCGTGAAACATACAAATGCATCTGCTATAGCTTGAGAAAGATCCTGAAGTTGGAAAAAAGAAATGATCCAGGCCAAGGGAGTGGTGGTGTGCCGGGGCCCGTTTTCCTCCCAGCATCCTGACTGCGGAGTTAGTGGTCTGTCCGCCTACTCTTTGACCAATGTGAGCTAAAGGACATCAAATGGTCCCATCACCACATTCCTACAGAGAGTGAGGCCCTCCCTTTCTGGGCACTCTCCAACCACTTGCCCACACCACGGAAAGAACTGAGAAACACCACTTTTCCTTGCACTGCTGTGGAATCACAAGAAGCTGGAAGGGAGCCTGCCCTGCTAGGTGAATTCTTGGGCAGAGGCCTTCTGTCTAGTCATGGTTATCACAGTGACCCCAGCCCCCTACCAAGCAAGCACTCATCTGCCAGTGGTTTGGCAGTTGTGGGTGATGCCGACTTGGCCCCAAATCAAAGGGTTTACTCCTTTTAGGGGGCCCAAAAAGCATCTCTCTTAAGCCTCTGCTTGTGCGGGGCAGAGGTCTCTGGGGAGATCTGCTCCATCAGGTAATAAGGTCAGTGGGCAAGCTCCTGCCCCCCCAGACTTGGAGGGGAGCAAGCACCTCATAGATGGAGCCATCCAAGAGCAGAAAATCAGAACACTCT